CCACTGACTCCTCTGACCGGGATCACAACAGAGGGTTCTGGAGAGAGCTGGAGTAGGATGTAGAACAAAATTCTAACACACACAAAAAAGACCAGATTTACTGGCCTAAAGGAGACTGGAGAAACCCCGAGAGTATGGCCCCTGGACACCCTTTTAGCTCAGTGATGAAGTCACTTCCGACGTTCACCGTTCAGCCGGGGATTGGACAGCCCCATAAAACAAAATGGGACTAATGAGGCACAGTAGTCCAGGGACAAGGGCTAGAAGGCAGAAGAGGACAGGAAAGCTGGTGACAGGGAACCCAAGGTTGAGTAAGGACAGTGTTGATGTGTTGTGAGGTTGTTAACCATTGTCATAGGGCAACAAGTGTACTAACTGTTTAATGAGAAACTATTTTGTTCTGTAAACCTTCATCTAAAGTGAGAATAGCAGCACAATTGGAAGAGCGTAGTCGATGTCACTGAACTGTGCATGTAGAAATTTTTGAAATGGTGTATCTTTGGCTATGTATATTTTCACCAAAAAAAAAAAAAGGTCAAGAAGGGAGAAGGTTGACATGTCGTGGGGTTGTTAACCAATGTCATAAAACAATATGTGTACTACTGTTTCATGAGATACTATTTGTTCTGTAAACCTTCACCTGAAGTACAATAAAAAGAAAAAAAAAAGAAGTGTGACATATCTTCATTGTTATCCATTTAGTACTTCATGCTTGGGAGAAATTTAAAATATCTGTTATTGGCCTTTTCTCCACTTCCTAGTTTGATTTCTGTCAGTGGTTCCCAGAATTGAGAGGTAAGACCTAATGAGTGATATCAGACGTGAGTTTTAAGAGAAAAGCACCTAGGACTCCACATCTGAAACTCAGCTGGCCCCTGCTCACTTCCCACCCCAACCCATTCTTTTCCCTTTCCCTGCAGCATCTGGCCATTCATCCCACCAGTGGAGGTGACATCCGTCACGCCTGTGTTCCAGACCATCTTTCAACCAAGAGGAAAATGGGGTGGGCAGATTATCTTTCAGAGAATACTTCACACAAGCTCTGCAGCTCTGCTCACCATTTCTATGTTGTAGCAGATCCAAAAGGTGAAAAAAGAGAAAGGGGTTGGTAGTGTTACCACCCCCACTCCAACCACCAGCACCACACAGCTGTTCAGAGGGTTAGTCTTCCAAAGCCACTTAATATTTCTACAAACTTGGTGTCTTTTTTTTTTTTTTTAACAGTATCCATGACAACTCTGAACAAAAAAGAAGAAGAGTAGGCTTTTAATTCTCAGGCACATGTTACATGGAACATATTCTTTACCCACAGGAATATCTGGTAAGATGTACATTAAGTCCTAGCAGAACATTTCTATTTAGAAATTAAGAAAAGATGGCTTAATGGGTCTGGGTAAATCCATGTCAACACTGATTTATTAATCTTTTTTTAAATGGAATTTTATTATCTGTCAAAAGCTATCAGTTCAAGTAAGAAAGAAGTCCAATTATCTCAGGACCTATTTTCACATTACTCGTATGTGACCTGATCCTTGGGCATCCCCCAGGGGTCACCAAAGAGCTGTTTCTCTTTTTAGAACATAGTGGTGTAAGAAATCCAAGGTCCATCTTTCAGGGCCATTTAAATGTCACTGAACAGGTTCTATTGAACAGAGTTCCTGGAGCCATCCAGAGCACAGGAGCTGGGGACCTGTATTACAGTATCAGTAATTGCTTTTGACCAAATCCAATGACAAACACATCAAGAGGCAGAATACTTCAAGAGTTTATTCAGGAGTTCCAAGCATAGCGGGGCCAAGATGGTGGAGTAGTCAGACACTTCCGGTGGACCCTCTTACAACAAAGACCCAAAAAAACAAGTGAATTGATTATATATGACAATCTAGGAGCCCTGAACATCAAAGATAAAGTTGAGGAACCAGACTGAGTGGTAGCTGGAGGGAGAGATGGTTCGGAAGCAGTGAGGAGTTGCCAGACCTGACCTGGCGAGAACCTGAGCCCTTCAGGCCTGATCAGCTCATGGGTGAGCAGTGAGGCAAGCAAGCAGCAGTGCTCGGGAGGCGCGCTTTCCACACCTGGAGAGACCCAGTGGCAGAGAGTCTACTTGGCCACCCAGAAGCAGTAAGAAGCAGCCCTCCATTGGTGAAAGATAAGTACTTGCGTACTGCCTACCACACGGGTCAAAAACACCCCCCTTAGGGAAAAACCTCTCTCCCATTTACCTCCCTGCTCTCTGCTCTGCACTGGGTCCCAGAATGGCTTCAGTAATTGCCGAGTCCCCTGGGTTGGGAGTAGGATATGTCACAAACCCTGAGTCATTCTTCCAGCCTTGGAGAATGAACAAATTAACAAACAAGGGAAAAAATAAACTGGCGGCTCCCCTAAGCCAGGAACCCAGGGTAGGCACAGCTCCTTTGCCTAGGCACAGGCATAGCTGATCCATGGACTTTGAGTGCCTTTCCCCCTGCAAAAACTTGTGTGGGCCCATTTCAACACTGTAGGCCCACATTACTGCAGTACAACAGGGTATACACCTGCAGTCTAACTTCAACTGTTTCAGCTGTGAAGTGGCAGGTTTGTGACATTTGACACTGCTCTGCCCATTAAGCAGGGTCTTCACCTACCCACTTCAGGGGCCTGAGGACTGGTGGCTCCACCCACACCACGTAGCCACCTGTGATAGGGGCCCAAGAATAAGGGGTGCCCCCCAGTCCTTACAGTCAACAGCATTGGGTGCTGATAGCCCAGTTGCAAAACTCACTCACCTATGCGCTCTAGGGAATAGGAACACGCCTTCCTCCTGGACACTCAGGGGCAGCTGTCAGCCACCTGCCATGCTCAGAGTGTGTCCCCCTGCTGCAGCCAGACGCCTGTGCCTACACCAATCACCCATGCCTGTCTAGGACTGTAGGTGAGAGCCTACACCCCACACTTGGTGGCTATCTACCTGGACACCTAAGCTAAATCCATACAAGAGAACTGAGTGGACTCCTGAGCTCATATACCGAGTAACCTGGTGACAGGACATTAGAGCTTCAATGTTGCCAATAATCAAACTAGCTTATATAAGCAGCCTATTTGGGCATATCAAAACAAAACAAGAAGCTAGGACGCAGTAAGCAAACATAAAATAAATAAATATAATAAGTTATTGATGGCTCAGAGACAACAGTCAATATCAAATCACATAAAGAGGCAAACCATGATGGCTTCAGCAAGTTCCCAAAATAAAGAATCTAGAAATTTTCCAAAGGTGGAAAATGTGTTGGAATTACCAGAGGCAGAATACAAAAGATTAATATACAGAACTCTTCAAGAAATTAGGAAGGAAATTAAGCAAAATGCAGGACACGCAATAGAAGAAATTAAAAAAGATTAGAGAAGAGCATAATGACAAATTTAACAGGCTGCAAGAATCCATACAGAGACAACAATCAGAAATCCAGAAGATTAACAATAAAATTTCAGAATTAGATAACTCAATAGAAAGTCATAGGAGCAGAATTGAGGCAATGGAAGTCTGACTTAGTGAGATTGAAGATAAAGCACTTGACACCAACTTATGTGAGGAAAAATCAGATAAAAGGACTTTAAAAAATGAAGAAACCCTAAGAATTATGTGGGACTGTATCAAGAGTAATAACCTATGAGTGATTGGAGTGGCAGAACGGGGGGGATAACAGAAAATACAGAGATAATTGTTGAAGATTTGTTGGCAGAACACTACCCTGATATTGTGAAAGATGAGAAGATATCTATCCAAGATGCTCATCCGACCCCACATAAGGTAGATCCCAAAAGAAAGTCACTGAGACATATTATAATCAAACTTGCCAAAACCAGAGATAAAGAGAGAATTTTAAGAGAGGCTAGGGATAAACGAAAAGTCATCTACAAAGGAGAGTCAATAAGAATAAGCTTGGACTACTCAGCAGAAACCATGCAGGCAAGAAGACAATGGGATGACATATATAAAGTCTTGAACGAAAAAAACTGCCAGCCAAGAATCATATATCCAGCAAAACTGTCTCTCAAATATGATGGTGAAATTAGGGCATTTCCAGATAAACAAATTTTAGGGAATTTGTAAAAACCAAACGAAAATTACAAGAAATACTAAAGGGAGTCCTCTGGTTAGAAAATCAGTTAACATCAGATAACAACCCAAGACTAGAACACAGGACAGAGCAACCAGATATCAACCCAGATAGGGAAGTCACAAAAATAAACCAAAGCTAAAACACTGAAAATAGGGAAAGAGATGTCAGTATGTAAAAGATGACAACATTAAAACAAAAAAGAGGGACTTAAAAAATGTAGACATAGATTTTTCATATGGAGAGGAAGTCAAGGCGATATAAAGAAATAAAAGACTGGTATAAACTTAGAAAAATTGGGGTAAATATTGCGGTAACCACAAAGGAAACTAACAATCCTACACCTCAAAATAAAAATACAGAAAAATATAAAGACTCGGCAAACACAAAATCAACAACAATTAAAAAGATGAAAAGACATAAAGAAAAAAGATTTAGCACAGAAAATTAACTGGAACAAAGAAACTGTGAACAACACACAAAAAAAGACATCAAAATGACAGGAGTTCCAAGCAACATTGTCTGATTCTTGTTGAGAAGAAAACTGTTGGGGCTGAGTTACCTCATACTGCAGACAGTACAGAAAATGTAATGGTAGCAGACTGGACTGGGTCTCCTTGGCTTACTATCATCCAGCTACAGATTCACATGGTGCCATTGAAACTTACTGAGTTTATATGAGAAGTAAACTAGCGGTATAAATGGTAACACAGAATTCATTGGTACAGGCAATAGTCCATGAATCACAGCCCCCAACATGAAGCTAACAGAGCATACAGAGACACCATTATGACAACACTGCCCATAATCAGTCTAATCTACAGGCTATATTTATATAAGAACATTACTGTTCCATGGTACTGCTTCCAGTTAGGGTCACAATTATCCACCCATGTGACTTACCTTCTCAAAGTCTCTAAGGGCCTGGGTTTGCACCTGAGGGAGTTTTTCAAATGCTCTCAAGGAATGTGTCTGTCCAAAGGAGAATTTTTCACCATCTCTCCAGGTATGTGACTGTGGTGGAGGGTCTTGATCTTTAGTGTCCCTAAGAAAAGCTGTCGGTGAAAGAGAATAACAAAAAACTTTTATATAATAATGGCACTATGATCATTCTAACCTGCACATTCCACACAATTTGGTTTCTGCAAAATATAAATCAATTGTAGGCCTCATAGAAACAGTTCACGTAATGTAGACTGTGGTAGATCTTATTATAATAATGGTCCTAGTGAGTCACTCTGGTTTGTATCCATGTTCCTTTGCAGTGTGATGCTCCTGCTCCTCCCATTAAGAAGTAGAGCCTATTTCTCCATCCCTTGAATCTGGGTTGGCCTTGTGACTTGTTTTGAACAACAGACTATGACGGAAACACCCTTGTATAAATTCCAGAGACTAGGCCTTGAGAGACCTTACATTCCCAGTCATCTCTTCTGGAACCCTAAGACTAGCAGGCTGTGAAGAAGCCCAGCAAGGAAGAGGAGGAGAGGCCAAGTAGAGGGGAATAAAGATGCCCGTCACCAACTGCTAGACATGTGAATAAGACCATCAAGGACCTCAGCTCCAGTCAAGCCATCAGATGACGGTAGCCACCTGAGTGATCCTAGGTGAGACCAGCAGAAGAAAGAAAGAAAACATATGATGATATTTTGTCTCTTGGTTTCTTCGGATGGACTCTGCCCATGTTTAGTTCATTTTCCCTCAGTGAGGCACAGAGTCCACAGAGTCACCCAGTGTCTGTCTTGCTGTCATTTGCCCTGGTTAGCAACCTATAGAATTTTGAGAAATAATAAATCATTGCAGTTTTAAGCCAGCAGTGGGCAAACTTCTTAAAGGACCAGATAGTAAATATTTTGGGCTTGTGGGCCATACAGTCTCTGTAACAACTACTCAATTCTGCCATTGTTGCTCAGTGCAGATGTAGACAATAGTAAACGAATGGCTGTGTTGCCATAAAACTTTATTTACAAAAATTGGCCATAGGCACACGGGTCATAGTTCGCTGATCCCTATTTTAAGCCACTAACTTCTGAAGAGGTTTGTTGCATGACAAAAGATAATCAAAATACGCCTTTAAAAAATGCTAAACTACTAGCTAAAATTTATTTTTCAAATCAATCTACAGAGAATCTTTTAGGTTACTATTTAAGAATAATAACAATTGTAACAACCAACATCTTTAAAGGGCATTACAAATTACAAAATGTTTTCACATAGATTATTTTATTTATAAAGTCACTGCAACCAGTGAAATAGATGTGGTTGTTATATTCCTTTTACTGATGATTAAATAAAGGTTCAGAAAGTTTGCTTGCCCAAGATCACATTGCTAAGAAGTAGCAGAACCAGGATTCAAAGCCAGGCTCTCTGTTTCAAAATCCCATGTTTTCTCTACTGGTCCTTCTTAGCAGTATGATATTTTAGCAGCTAAAGGATTGTAACAGGTCTAGTCGGGAGAATGGAGGCAAAGAAGCAGAGACACAATATATTCCATTAACCAACAGAACTATTGCCCTGGGAGAACCTAGTGAAGGATAATCTGCTACTAACTAACCTCATGCCTGTCTCTGAGAAGCAACATTTTGAAAGAATGAAAAATCAAGGCTTCAGTCAAGCACGGCACAAAGAGCACCTCAGATTTAAGTGGGGGCTATAGACTCAGATGGAAGAAATAAAAACATACATCTTCTTTTGGTTGACAGAAAGAAGCAGTGAGCCTATTACTAAACCATATTTTTTTAATCACAAAGAATGATAGCCATCACAAAACATCGGGCTCCATAGACAGCGTGCGGGCGAGTAAGAGGAAGACGAGCACTGGGTGGAAAATGAACCGAACATGGGCAGAGGAGATCCTAAGGAGCCAAGAGGCAAAATGCCACCTTATGGTTTTTTCCTTTCCTTTCTTTCTTTTTTTCCCCAAGTTGCCGGAAGGAGCACAAGAAAAAATACCCAGATGCTTCAATGAACTTTTCAGAATTTTCTAAAAAGTGCTCAGAAATTTGGAAACACATGCCTTCAAAAAGAAAGGAAAATTTGAAGACATGTTGAAGGTGAACAAGGCCCATTATGAAAGAGAAACAAAAACCTATATTCCCCCTGTGAGGTGGAAAAAAAAAAGAGAGAGAGAGAAAGTGAAACAGAGATTGATCGATTGATTCAAGGGTCCCAATGTACCCAAAAGATCTCCTTCAGCCTTTTTCTTGTTTTGTTCCAAGTATTACCCAAAAATTACAGGAGAATATCCTCAACAATATCTTTGACAGCACCTAACAACAACAATAACATCCTGGTCTTTCCGTTGTGATGTAGTAAGGAAATGAGAGAAATGAAGAATAACTGCTGCAGATAATAAACAGCCTTAAAAAGGGGTGGCGGGGTAGGAAAGGCTGTTAAGATAAAGAAAAATATATAAAGGCTATAGCTATATTCTGGTCTAAAGGAAAGTCTGATGCAGGGGAAAAGAGAGGGGCGGTTGTCAAGGTTGGGGAAAAGAGGAAAAGAAGAAATAGGAAGGAGACCAAAAAGGATCAGGAAGATAAGAGCAAAAACAAGAGGATAAAGATGAAGAGCAAAATGATGATGATAAATAAGGTGGTTCCAGTGCTCAAGAGCTATGGCTGCTAACCAAAAGTTCAGCAGTTCGAATTCACCAGCGGCTCCTTGGAAACCCTATGGGGCAGTTCTACGGGGTCACTATGAGTCAGAATAGACTCAACAGCAACGGGTTTAGAAAGCATTTTACTTCTCCATTACACTATTGTTTTTAAAGAAAAAAGATGAGATATAAGACTGCATGATTTGTTTTTAAACTGTACACTGTATACCTTCTTTTTTTAAAAAAAAATGAAATTAACATACTATCAAATGTGTCTTTAGATAGCCCTGTCCTTAATGGTATTTTCAATAGCCACTAACTTTGCCTGGTATGTCATGGAGGTTGTAAACTGGTAGAGAAATTTAAAGCAGGTTTTATCAGTGCACTGCATGAATTTATTATATATGGAGATGGTACATTTTCCATCTTCAGTTGTCTTTGATGCAGCTTGTACAAAATAATTGTTCTCTTCTGCTTTCTACTCTGAGACTGTAATAATAATGATAATAAGTTGCACCCATTTTGTTGATACTCCTAAGCAAATACAAATTATTTTATTAAAAGAAATTAGAAAGAATGATTCCCTCCATATTTAGGTGAAACTAAATAGGCTGTTAAATGGAAGAGAATTTGATGAAACAGAACAGTAAGACATTACAGTGAGATTCCTGAGATTTAATGGAGAGAGCAGCACCTTTGAAGCGTGGATTTGAATCCTGACTCTACCACTTGCTAATTGTGAGAATTCAGGCATATCTCTTAATATTGCAGAGCTTCATTGCCTTTGTAAAAATAAGGATAATAAACCTATCTCAAAGAGCTTTTATATGGATCAAATGAAATAGTGAATGAAAGTACCCGACCTGGTATCTTGCCTCTAGTAGGCATTTTCTCCATTTCTCTTCCATTTCAGCCCTAGTCCTTCAGTCTTTACCTCAAAATGGAGGATCTTGATGCTCAAAATATTGACTATGGTCTCTTTCTGTTGCCTTCAAGTCAATTCCAACTCATGGCAACTCCATGTGTTTCAGAGTAGAATTGTGCTCCATAGGGTTCTCAACGGCTGATTTTTCGGAAGTAGATCATCAGGGCTTTCTTCCAAGGTGGCTCTGAACCTTTCAGAGAGCAGCCAAGCATCTTAACCATTTGTACCACCTAGGGACTCCTTTTGACTATGGTAGACCCATAAAATTTGTGGATTTAACATACACAGTTTCAAATGCTAATTTTAAGTGGCTCTGAAGTCCTTAACACCTTCAAGTTAAAAAATTTCCACAAAGGAAACTCACTTAGCAAGGAGGAAAATCTCACGGGATGAAAAATTTCTGTCAATGAATTTTACTTGTAGAAATTGTTGAGATGGTGTATGTTTTTACGTATATTTTCACCACAATAAAATTAAAAAAAGTTTTTGTGAAAAATGAGCCCCAAAAGAGAACTATCGTCACTTTGGTTTTGTAATCAGTAAGTTTCTGGCTAAGATTAGTGCAGTAATGATTATTATATTATTATGAATATATTAATAATAATAACTAAGATTTACTTAGTGCTTATTACTTGATTGGGTTTGCACTAAGCATTTTTCTCACTTAACTTTACCTATGAGGTTGACACTATGATTATACCCATTTTAGTGGTATATTCACAAAAATCAAAAAACTCATTGCCATTGAGTCAATTCTGACTCATAGCAACACTATAGGACAGAGTAGAACGACCCCATAGCGCTTCCAAGGAGAAGCTGGTGGATTCAAACTGCCAACCTTTTGGTTAGCAGCCGAGCTCTATCGGTATATTAGGGTATAGATACAGAGTGAAACCTGTGAGAGCCGGAACTCGACAGGACTGCCTTGTTTTTCCAGGTCTTGAAGTTTTCTGCCTTTGACAGGGTGCAAACTTAGCACTTTTCTATCACTCAGTTTAGTGGAAAATATTTGAGTTTTCCTTCTCCGACAGGTTTCCTTCTTACACAGGTTATGACTTTCAGAAGTTTTACCGTAATATACTGAGATTTAATTTCAGTGGCAGAATTTGTTTTTGAAGTGACTTTTATCGTGCAATTACAGAATTATTAAAGGTGTAAAAAGTTTACTGAAGTGTTTCAGCTATGATTTACTGCACTGTGTTGGGGAAGTGGGGAATTATATGCTACAGAAGTATATGCAATTAGTCAAGAAGAAGAACAAAGTGGGAGGACTCACACTACCTGATTTTAGAACTTATTACACCACCACAGTAGTCAAAACAGCCTGGTACTAGTACAAAAACACATACATAGACCAATGGAACAGAAATGAGAATCCAGACATAAATTCATCCA